GCACGGCCCAGAGTGGGGGCCGAGGAGCAGCAGTGCGCTGGTCGGCGGTGGCTCCGTCCCGGCCAGAACAGGACCACAGCAGCAGCCAGCTGGCGCCGTGGTGGACAGAGAGACCTGCACCCTGGGCTCATGGGCTTTGGGGCCACTTGGCCCATCCCATCAGCTTCTTTTCATTTCTCTTCTGTTCTCCCCCAGGGGAAAAAATGGACTTACTACCTGTCCCCTCCTCTGGAAACTTACAGGTGATTTGACTTCGCCAGTAAATCCAACATTTTTTTTCTTTTTTTTTAAGGTTTATTTATTTATTTGAGAGGAAGACTCACAGAGAGAGGTCTTCCCTGTGCTGGTTTACTCCCCAAATGGCCCTAATACCAGTGCCAGACTAGGCCAATGCCAGGAGCCTGGCGCTCCAGACAGGTCTCCCACATGGGTGACAGGGCCCCGAACACTTGGGCCATCCTCGGCTGCTTTCCCAGGCCATAGCAGAGAGCTGGACGGGAAGAGGAGCAGCTGGGACTTGAACTGGCACCCATATGGGATGCTGGCACTGCAGGCGGAGGCTTAGCCCACTACACCACAGCGCCAGCCCCAAATCCAACATTTTCAAACCCGCCACCTTTGCCCATTATAGAAACAAAGGCTAAACGTGAATCCACAGTGGGGAAGAAAAATGGCTTCCTTTTTCCCTGCAAGCCAGCGTGCAGAGGGAAGAGAATGAGTGGGGCCAAGCCAGCTGGCAGGGAGCTGGACCCAGGGAGTCCCACTGGCGGAGAGCAAGGTCACAGGCCAAGGTCGCGGGCCCGGGGCCCAGGGCCCAGTCAGAATAATGGGAACTTGGACTCCGTGGGTTTGCTTCTTCAGAAAGTAACCTAAACATGCAATATTTATCATCCTTTCTGCCTGGGGTGGGAAGCAGCCAGCCACTGCGGATGGGCCATGAGTCATGGGTTTTAAAAAGGAAGAAATTCTTATTGTTACATATTTTATAAATGTTTAAGAAGCGAGGAAACAGCTGCCGCTGTCAGGAACCCACACAGGGAGCAGGCGCTGGGGCAGGTGCTCCCTCTGCCGCTCAAGTGGGCACCGCTGGGGCTGCAGCGTCCAGGCGGGGAATGGAGCAAGCAGGTGTGGCAGGTGCCTGGCTCCCAGAGTGGCCTCCACCATCCCACGGCCCAGCATTCCCGTCCCGTAATCTCCTCCACTGAGCCCACCCGGGCCTTGTGACTCACAGGATGTGGCAATGGTGACACGATGTCACCCTTGTGATTAGGTTCAGAAGATCGCGACTTCGAGTGAGCTAGCGGGTTCTCTCCCTTGCTGGCTTGGGTGGAGCCAGCAGCCATTTGGAAAGTCCCAGTGACACGGGACCAAGGGCAGGCTCCAGCCAACAGTCCACAAAGACGCCAGGCCTTCGTCCTGACAGTCCTCGAGGGGCTGAGCTCCACAACCGCTGGGACCAGCCTAGAAGCAGGTCCTCCTCCAGTCAAGGGTTTGCATGAGACCCCAGCTGGGGTCCACACCATGACGGCAGCTAGGGAGACCCTGAGGCAAGGATCCCCTGGGGCTGTGGCAGGTTCCCAAGCCCAGAACCCGTGAGATAACAGGTGTTGTCTGAAGCCGCCAAGTTGGGGTAACCTGCTACCCAGCAGCAGGGGTACAAGGCCAGGGCTGGGCATGCCTCCTGACGCGTGCTGCTGCCCCGGCATCCCGCCTGGCCCTCCCCAGCACATCACCTCGGTCCGGCACAGGCAGTGCCCACTGCTCTGACGAAGCGCCAGCACCACCGGGTGGGCCTAGGGGGCCTTTGCTATCCACCGCTGTGCATAAGCTCAGGAGCCGGCCCAGGGCCCGGCAAGCTGCAGGGCTCGGTGAGGGCTGGAACTGGCTTCTGCTAAGGACGGGGGAGGCGAGAACCCACTTTTAGTTCCCAGCACAGTGTGTATGCCCTTTGAAGAGTGAGGCACGGAGTTACGCCGCTGGGTGGGACACCCAGGTCTCATATCGGAGGGCCTGGGTTCGAGACCCAGCTCTGCTCCCAACACCAGCTCCCTGCTAATGCAGACCCTGGGAGGCAGCAGTGACAGCTCAAGCAGCTGGGCCCTGCCACCCACACGGGACACCTGGGTTGAGTCCCTAGCTCCAGCTCCAGCCCCTGACATGGGCAGGCAGGGAGGGAAGCAGAGGAGGGACCTCTCTCTGTTTTCTCCACCTTCCTCTTTGCCCTATTAATTAATTTATTAAAAAGAAAGAAGACAGGAGGGTGGCCACACGAAAGCCGGTGCTGTTGGCCATGTGTGAGGCTGGGCTCTGAGGCAGGCTCCCCCTGACCCCGCCAGCACCGAGGTCCTCCCTGCCCCAGACTGTGACCTCGGAGGCGGGCTGCACTGCAGAGACAGGCCACAGGCAGGGCGCCTGGCCCAGCTCCCCTGCGGCAGCACACGTCCTGCCCGCGGCCCCTCCTGCTTACTCGGCAAACTCATTCAACCCTCAGGACCCCGCCTGGGGCTCCCTCTGCCTGGGGCTCCCTCTACCTGGGGCTCCCCCTGCCCGGGGCTCCCTCTACCTGGGGCTCCCTCTGCCTGGAACTCCCCACTCATGGCTCACTCCTTCTTTCTCCCTCTCTGCAGGACCCTGACCCACAGCCTGGAGCTCCCACCCCCCTGGGGCAGGTTCGGGGCCGGCACATGGAGCGAAGGCCAGCCAGACGGCTCCCCGGCTCCCCGCGGCTCTGGGTGGGTCACTCTCACTCCAGCCCTGAAGTTGGAGCTGGGGCTGACCCTCCTCAGAATGAAAGGGGCCCGGTGCTGTGGCCTAGCAAGAAAAACCACTGCATGCAGTGCCGGCATCCCATAGGGGCACCAGTTTGAGTCCTGGCTGCTCCACTTCTGATCTGGCTCTCTGCTATGGCCTGGGAAAGCAGTAGAAGATGGCCCAAGTCCTTGGGCCCCTGCACCTGCATGGGAGACCCGGAGGAAGCTCCTGGCTCCTGGCTCCTGGCTTTGGATTGGTACAGCTCCAGTCATATCATCGGATAGAGGACCTCTCTCTCCCTCCCTCCTTCCCTCCCTCTCTCTCTCTCTCTCTGCCTTTGCCTCTCTGTAACTCTTTCAAGTAAATAAATAAATCTTTAAAAATATAAAAAAGAATGAAGGCATTTGGGGTACAGAAAGCACAGCCCAGACAGAACTGCGCCCCCAGCTGGCCCGGCCGGGAGAGCGGGGCAGAGCAGTTGCAGAGACACCTCTGCGTGTCCCTCTGGAGGCTGGCGCTTGTGCAGTCAGGGCCACGCAGGCTTGTGGGGGAGGACGGCCCACTCCTGGGGAGCACAGGCCTAAGTCCCGCTCAGAAGCACGGGAGCCAGCAGACGGGACGGGGTGAGGGTTCCAAAGCCGGCGGCTGCCTCAGAAACGGGCAGACTGATCCCTGAGGCTGGCGATGCACCAGCAGCAGGAGTGGACCTGCAAGTGGTGTCGGCCACAGGAGAGGCACCCGGGGAGCCGCCGCGGTCCAGGCTGTGGGGAGTCGAGACTAGTCCTTGCCCTCACTGTGTCACTGTGTCTGCTCTGGGGACTCCACGAGGGGCGTGCAGACATCACCCCGGCCAGCGTGGCCTTGGGGTGTCAGTGCTCAGAAACGCAATGAGACCGTGTGGTCACACAAGTGTACCCTCCTCCTGTCCCTCCTCCTCCTCCCTCCCTGGCACCCCCACTGCCTTGCACAGTGTGTCCTCATCTGCATAGCAAAGAAGTCTGGAAGAAAACGCACCAAAAGCGAAACAGCACTTCTTTGCATAGGAGGTAACAGGTGTTTTTGCAGACAGTTTTTTCTTTATCATTTTCCAAATTTGCACAGCAAACAAGGCTCATTGTAACCGGAAGCCGGCAGGGCCAAGAAGGGAGCCATTGAGGAAGGCTTCGGGCGGCTCTACCCAACGACAGCAAGCCATGAGTCTGCAATCCGGGGCTTCTGGGAGCTCGGAGGGAGTCTGCTGCCTGCCTCGCCCCAAGCGCCCGGAGTCGCCAGCAGCTCCGGTCTGCACACGGCTTGCTCCCAGGGCCCTGGGGCGGGACAGGGTCTCCCTTCATCCGGTCTGATCTCACCGCAGCTTAACGGCATCTACAAAGACCCTATTTCCAAACAAGGTTACGGTCACACATACCAAAGGTTAGGACTAGAGCTTATCTTTTGGGGTGGCAGAATTCAACCCCTGATAAGATACTGCCCAAATAAGACAGACAGGGCTGTGCCCCGATCGCTAAACATCTGCCGGCTCTGCCCACCCTAGTTCGGGGCTTTGCCTGCGTGGCCCTACAGAGGAGAAATGGGACCAAAACAAGGATGCTCCCCAAACAGAGCTGGTCACAGGAGGAAGAACAGTGCCATCTTGGGAGGGGACCTCCCGCTCTTGGGGGGCCTTACGGGCAGACCGCAGGCCCACTCCCATCCCTGACCTGCTGGTCTTTGGAGGGGTGTCAGGCCAAGTCATTTGAAGGCCCTGGCAGCCCTGAGATTCTGCGATCCACACAGGCATCACCAAAGGCTGAGGCCCGGCGCAGTGCTGGCCAGGCCGCCCCGGACCACCTGCCCAGTGTCCCAGCGGCTCTGTCTTGCGCAGGCCAGGCAGCTGCCCTTCGTCTTGGTCTTGTGGGGAAAGCTGCAACCACCACGGTCACAGCCAACAAGGAGAAAGGCTTCCACCAAGTCGGGAGACCCAGAGCCCCAGGGGCGAAGTCATGAAGCGCATGGGGCAGTCCTGCCTCTTGGGGGTTTCCCCACCTCGGCCAAGCGCAGGAGCACAGACGCGGGTCAGCGCCGCTAAGCAAATAATCTGGGATTTGTTTAAACACAGCAAAGATTGCCCCAAGAATAACATTTACGCAAGACCTAGCAGCCCCACTGCAACTGCAGCCTGTTTGTTTTTTGTTTTTAAAGCAAGGCGAAATCTTGTTTGTGATGAGAAAGCACCTCCCCTTTGCGCCCCCGAGCGCCCGCACGCTCACCTCTCCACGGGGTCCCTGAGCATGACGATGAGCTTGGCGTTGGGCTGGAAGGCGTGGATGAAGTCCTGGGTCAGGAAGGGCGGCTCGCCAGCCGTGCTGTTGTCGTAGAAGAAGGTCCAGGCGTTGTTGTCCCACATGGTGGAGGCGCTGGCCTCCCCTGGAACACAGGGGCGTGAGCTGTCACTGGGCAGGGGTCTCACCGGTGCTGGAGGCCACGCCTGGCTCCTGTGCCTTCCTCTGAGCAGGCGGTCGGGGGGGCTCCAGGCATAGGCGGCCTGACACGCCCCTCCCCCCCACCACACTGACCATGACCTCCGGCTGGAAATCCAGGCAGACCACCTGACCATGAGAGTCCCTGCCTCTCTCCAGGGTGAGCAAAACTGTAACCTTTCCTGACCAGCCCCGGGGCCCTAAGTTCACAATATGTAGCTTTGCTCATGACGCACAGCACTGGGGGACCTTAAGGGCCTACGGAGAAGTCTTGGACGGCTTCTCCCATTAGCGTCAGCCCCCTGCACTGTGGTCCACAGGACTCGAGGATGGAAATGTTAAGGCTGCATTCTGGGAGAGGGGTGAAGCCAAAACAGGACTTGGACAGCACAGAGTCTCTCAGACACTGACCCAGTCCCTGGTCTTGTTTGTTTTGTTCTGTTTCTTTAAGGACATCCATCAGAGACTTAGAAAGAAAAGCACACTGGGGTCAGCTTTGTGCAGCAGCCTCCACTTGCAACGCTGGCATCCAAAGGTGGGTGCGCTGGCTCAACTCCGGCCACTCTGCTTCCAACCCAGCTCCCTGCTGATGCACCTGGGAAGGCAGCGGAGCGTGGCCTAAGCGCTTGGGCCCCTGCCACCCACACAGGAAGCCTGGAGGGAGTTCCCGGCTCTGACTCTTGCGGCCATCTGGGGAGTGAACCAGCAATGAAAGACCCGTCTCTGTCCTCTTCCTCCCCTCCCTCTCTCCTCCTCTCTCTCCTTCTCCCTCCCCGGCCCCTTCACTCTGCCTTTCAAGTAAATAATAAATAAATCTTTTAAAAAGGAAGGAACGGAGGGGAGAGAGGGAAGGAGGGAGGCAAGTCAGCCAGCTCTCGCCTCCCCAGACAGTTTGCACAGAGCTGCGTGCACGGCTCCACAGCGCCGGCTCGGGAAGCCCCGCTCCTCCGGGCAGTGACAGCGTGTGCTGGACACGCAGGACGCCAGCCGGGCTCCGTTTATGCTGCTGGGTGTGCAATCACCTCCCGGTGAACAGCCCCGCTCCTGGCTTTCCTCCCTTCTCATTTTTTAAAAAGAGAGAGATAATATCCCAGGATACATAAAAGGCAGCCAATCAGAAGTCCTTTCAAAATCCCACTGATAGTGAGGACGCGTGCTGCATCTGAAACGACACCAGCAGAAACCCTGGCAGAGCCCAGCGTGCACGGGGCACCTGGCCGCCCATCTGCCTGTCCACTCCCCTCCCAGCCCGGCCCCTCCTCCACGCACCCAGAAAGCATCCACGCCTGTCACGTCTGTGCCCCAGCTCGTGTTTAGCACTGGGAAAGATGAGGGAGACGAGGGAGACGAGGGAGACGAGGGAGACGAGGGAGACGAGGGAGACGAGGGAGACGAGGGAGACGAGGGAGACACGGCCCCTCTCCTCTCAGACCCAACAACCCAGGGAGAAGTCGACCACCAGGAAGCTGTCGGCTGCCCCTGGAGCGGCTGGGATTGGGCAGGGCAGGTGCCTTGAGGGCAGAGGCAGGAGCCCAGCCCCACAGGACGTGGTCGCCAGACCCTGAGCCTCCTGCGCCCCTCTGCCCAGCCGAGTTTGCACAAGGACGCTGAGGTCAGGTCCTCTCCCACCCTGGGCCCAAGAGGATGCAAGACCCTCGCGCCTCTGGGATGGTCTCAGAGCCTGCAAAGATCGGGCACAGCACTCCCATTGTACAGCTGTGCAGACTGAGGTCAGGAACAGCAAGGCTGCCACTCATCACACGGCACCGAGCCAGCTGGCGGCACAGCACGGCCAGACGCCACCTGTCATCCGCCTCCCAGCCCCCCTCCCCCCGGTCATGCCAGGAGGCTACCAAAAACCCACCGAGCCTGCCCGATGCAAATCTCAGCCCAGAAAGTTGAGGTCTCGTTTTTGGTTTTTAATCTAGAAGTCAGTAAAGAAACCAAACTAAGGCTTGGCTCTTTCGCTCAGTGTCTGTTTCCCGGGCCTCGGGTGAACATTCCATGGCTCTTCCTAAGAGCGTGAGAGCTCCCTTGAGACAGGTGACACTGGAGAGCAGTGGTCACCTGGCTGGCAGGACTCCCGGGTTTACAGAAAACAGCCAACAGCCAGGTGACGCTCTGGGCGGCTCTCAGGAACCTGATTTCTGAGTTTAATAACCAAACGAATAAATCAGGGCTCAGGCACACCCGCCCCTCCTAAGTAAAAAAAAAAACATCTTTCAAACAGCTCGTCACGGTTCATCCTAGTCTACGGTAGATTAATTTAGAGAATCAAAGCCCAGTAGGTCTAGAAAATTCTTAAGATAGGTCACCGCCTCGGGTGACAAACTTAAGCAACACGCGTGGTTGGATGGCTCCCTTGCAGAGGGTGGAAGTGGACGAACACCTGCTTGCCCGCTGAACCCAGTAAGAAAGCGTTGTGTAGGGGACCAAGCCTGGGGAGCCAGGGCCAGCACGGTGGCTACGGCTGGCAGTGCCACAGCGCAGACCTCAGATGCACCCCTGCGAGGAGACGGGTATGCGGACTCGCTCGACTAAAGGAATCATCTCGCGCACACGTGCGTCAACACATGCTGCACACCTAACTACACACAAGAAAGAGGAACGGGCGGGGTGGGGGTTTGGTGCAGCTAGCAGGATGCCACTTGGGGGGCTGGCGTCGGGGCGGAGCAGGTAAAGCCCTGCCTGTGACGCCGCCATCCCATATGGGCACCAGTCTGAGTCCCGAGGGCTCCACTCCTGAGCCAGCTCCCTGCTGATGCACCGGGAAAGCAGTGGAGGATGCCCGAGTGCTGGGCCCTGCACCCACGTGGGAGGTCCTGATGGAGCTCCTGGCTTCGGCCTGGCCCTGCCCTGGCTGCTGTAGCATCTGGGGAATGAACCAGCTGATGGAAGATTCTCTCTCTCTCTCTCGTTCTAATTCTTTCAAATAAAGAAATAAATATTTTTAAAAAAAAGCCACTTGTGCCCACATCCCATCTCAGAGCTCCTGGGTCTGTCTCAGAGCTGCTCCCAGCTTCCTGCTAACACACACCCTGGAGCAGTGCTGCCGGCGGACGCGGGGTCCCCCCAGGTCGAGTTCCCAGCCCCCGCCCTTGTTGCAGGCATTTGGGGAGTGAACCAGACAATGGGAGCTCCATACACGTGTGTGGCCATCTCTCTGCCTTTCAAATAAACGCTTAAAAAGCGGGGGGTGGGGTGGGGTGGTGGGGATCTAGGTCTTTTAAAAACTATTCTTGTGAATTTTGAAAATGAGTGACTATGAATCAAACCAGCTCATTCCAGACGTCCTTAGCACCAGGCTGGCAGGGGCAGGGTCTTTGAAACAGGGCTGCACAGGCTTCAGAAGCTGCCCCCACCCCACCCCCGGCCCCGCCCCCAGGGATACCAAAGCCCTAGGGATGAAATCAGTGACCACTCAGCGCACAGCGTCTGTGGTCCCCCAGCCAAGCACACGGGAGCAGACCACGCAAAGAAGTCAAGGATGCCCACTTAATCTACAGGAAAACAGAAATGGCGATGTTTAAAAAACGCCACTGCAGCGGTCCTCGGGTCTCTGGAGTACAAAGTGGACTCAACATTCACATAAGGGCACTGGGGACGTGGCTGTCACCGGCTGGGGGTGGGGTCGGGGGTGGGGTGTGCAGGCTCAGCACATGTCTGCAGCCATCACGCAAACGCCCCACAGGTGCGGCAGGGCTGGCCCCAGGGAGGCCGCTGGCCGCCTCGGCGCTGCCCAGAGCCATACCCACGATGATGTCATTCATCTTGTTCCGCTCCTGCGCAGCACTGGCCTGCAGGCCTTGGTGGATCTGGTGCGCAGCCAAGTCAAAGAGGTCCAGGTAATCTTCCACGGGGTAGCGGTCCCGCAGCCCGTCTCTCAGGCGCACGATCCCTGCGAGAACCAAGAGGCACGAGTGCTTACTGTGGACAGGGCGACCGCTCCTGGAGCGCTGGCCTGCTGGGGAGTGACCAGAGGGATGAGAGGCCCAGCGACGGAGGCAAAGGCCGAGCCCAGGTAAGCTTCAGAAGCGGGGGCACCTGCAGGGTGGGGGTGGTGCCTTCGCGAGCTGGTTGCCCCCTTCCCAAGGCCCCCATGCTTTGTGGGTGGAAGACACTGCCACAGAGCTGGCAGGGGCAGCTAAAAGGATGGCACACCTATTCAAGAACCACAAATGTGTCCACTTGGAGGGCCAGCGAGTGGCCAGGCCACAGCGGCACCCGGGATGCACACAGTGAATCAAACAGGAAAGGGGGGAGGGGCAGTAGGAGGGCAGCCACAGAGCCCAGCCCACACCTGCCTGATGTTCTAGCCCCCACCTGCTCCATCAAGCACCCCAGCTGCCTGTCCACACTCTCGGGGAAACTGACCCTCCCCTGCACAGACACGGATTCTGGCCTGGGCTCCTGGAGCCCAAACCTGCCCCTTTCCACTCGCAAACATTTGTGAAACTGCCCAGCTCCACAGCTACCAAGGTCAACGGGAAGTGGCAAGAGGATGCCCATGGGGCCAACAGTAGGAGCTCCAGGTGCCGTGCAGCACCAGCGCCAGGCGCCGGCCCGGTTCTTGTTGCTCTCCTGCCTGGGGGAAGCTGGTTTGCATTAGGGAAGAGGGCGTGGGGAGGGCGCCCAGTGCAGGCACCGTGTCCAGACACATCTGGCAGCTGTGCCCGGATGTGAAACCTTGGCTCCCACGGCGGACAGTGCTAAACCACAAAGAAGACATCTGCACTTGTTTACCCCAGCACGAGCATCAGACGGACAGAACCAAGTGTCCGTCGGGAAACACAGTAAGCAAACCTTCAAGACTCCCTCCCAGCAACCTGCGACCTCGGGTGGACAACGCCCTCGTGGGCCGCCCGGGCTCTGGCAGACTGAGGGCTGCGATCACCTCTGAGCTCCAGTGACCGAATGTCTCCTGGCAGGAGGGAAAAGGTTATGAAGAGGAAACAGTGACCGGAGGCCCACAGGGTGCCTGGGGCTGGGCTGAGCGGGAGGCAGCCTGCAGGGAGGGGTGGGTGGGGCTCAGAGCCAACCCCGCAGCCAAGGGGTGTAGACAGCAGCGTTTTCCATGTGATTTTCACACAGAAGTCAAGAGCAGCCAGGGCAGGTCAAAGATGCCAAGGCCCAAAGCTGTGTCCTGCAGGTGCAGGGCCTTCTGGAAACGTGACAAAGCTGGGAGCCCAGGACCCCCATGCCCCGGCCCCGGCGCTCTGGGATCCCCATTCACATCTGCCCACTGTCCTGCACTCAGCTGGCTGTCGGTCAACGCTCACCCAGAGGCGGGGGCAGGGTTCCAGCCTGTGTTGGGTCTCTGCCTGCGGATGGCTGCTGCGGTCTGAGTGCGCCCCACAAAGCCTCCTGCCCTGGAGCTTGGTCCCCAGGTGGCGAGAGGCGGTGGGACCGTTTAAGGCACTACTTGGAAGGGGTGACTGCCGGTCTCGCAGAGTCCGTCGGTCGTCATGAGCTGGGACAAAGCCAGGCCACCACCCACTCCAGGCCTCCTGTGCCTATAGCCAGTTTCCTCTCCGCTTCTCCCCACACGGTGACCTTGCCAGGGGCCCTCATCCAGACCCCAGCAACAGGATGTGCAGGTCCTCCAGGATCAGAAACCGGGTGGGCTAAGCATCCTGTCTAAACGCCGGTTCTCGTCTCAGCTGCTCTGCTTCCAATCTGGTCCCCTGCTATTGCACCTGGGAAAGCAGTGGAAGATGGCCCAAGCGCTTGGGTCCCTGCACCTACGTGGGAGAGGGAGACCCGGATGGAGTTCCAGGCTCCTGGCTTCAGGGACTGCATCAGCAGATGGAAGATCTCTCTCTCTCTCTCTCTCTCTCTCTCTCTCTCTCTCTCTCTCTAACTCTGCAGTTCAAATAGACTAAATCTTAAGACATTCAGGAGCCAAAGAAACCCCTTTATAGAGTCCTCAGACTCAGGTCCTGTGTCGCAACAACATGGAGCGGACTTAACCCCACACCCCCACCCAGGGACAGGTGAACTGCTGCATCTCCGCGGCTCAGTCTGTCTCCTCCCATCCCCAGCACGGTCTCCCTCACGGGGACTCGCAGCACCGGCTCCCTGCACCCCACCGCCAGCCCTAACGCGGCCCCAGAACTCACCAAACCGCTTCCGGGTCCACCAGTGCGGCTCCTTGATGGCGGAGAACTTGACTTCTGGGTGCAGGCGCAGGCGGTCGTAGAGGTCGGTGGTCCCGCACTTGGGCTGCCCGATGATGTAGAAGTGGGGCAGGCAGCGCAGGCGGAAGTGCTTCCCGTCGGCGTGCGACAGGTGGCCCCAGAAGGCCTTGCGCAGGGCGTCGAAGGTGGAGCGGAAGCGCTTGGAGTAGAGCACGTAGGAGTTGGTCAGGTAGGGGTCGGTGGTATTCCTGCCCGAGAACTCCTCGTACCAGCAGGGGCTCTTGCTGTTCGGGAGGAATTTGCTGGGGATGACTGAGAACATCTGTGCGGGGAAAGCCGGGAGAGAGAGGCGAGCTGAGGGCGGCAACTCCAGGCTCTCCCACGGCAGGCTCCTGCCCTGGCGCGGAGCCCCGAGTGCCCGTTCCACCTGCTGTTGGCCCCTGACGACAATGTAACTAAAGCAAAACTGGGTAGACGGCCAGGGGCTGGGCTTTCTCTTTCCCACAGTTCAGAAATTCACAGAGGCTATGCTGGGAGACGATGAAGGTAAAAATCTAAGGCAAAACCACTCGGCCGTGACTTATCCCCCCACCCCCAGCCATCTAACTGAACCCAACAGTTGTACATTTAAATCACCATTAGCAACAAAAATACTGATAGAGACAGAAGGGAAACAGGAAATCTAATTGAGTCCAACTTGAAGAGTCCAGCTGATAGGGACGGGCACAAGCGACTTTATCCACCACAGCCACACAGTCAACCTGGGAATCCTGGGGGGTAATTAAGGGAGGTGGCGGCCTCTAAACACCGCTGTGCCACTCAGAACAGCAGGTGCACCAGTGATCAGACCCCGCCCTCAGCGCCCTCTGCTCCCCGAGGCTGTACCGTGAGGCTTCCTCCATGAGCAAGGGAGGCAGCCCTTCCTCACGCGCGTGCCGAAGGGCTACTCACGTGCCCCTCCTGCTTCCGGAGGTCTTCCAAGTCCGGGAGCTGCCTGGGGGTGAACTCGATCCTGGCCGTGATGCTGTCGATGATGAGTTTGATGCTCGGGTAGTCCTTCACGTAGGACACGTTACTCACGGAGGGCTGGTGGGCATGCTCTTTGGTGTCGCCTGGGTTTTCAGTGTCCGTCAAGCCGGGATTGCTGGGGAAGCCTCCGTAGTGGAAAGGCGACGGGATCAGAAGCTCCTGGCGGGCCCCAGAGAGCATGTAGGACGCCATCACCAGGGTCATTATTATCAGTCCGAAAATGAGGCTCCATCGCCTGCCCTTCCTAAAGCGCAGAAGCCCACCCCAGCTCTCATTCCCATCGGTCCTCACTTCGAGAACGGCAAGCAAGTTCATCTGTTTACTGTCCACGCGAAACAGAATCCTGTCTTCCCCCTGGCACGTGGGGCACGCCTGGGGGCTGTGGGCGGGGCCTCCCCGGCAGCCGACCTGCCCGGTGTGGGAGCCGTCGTCTGGTATCAGCCCTGTGCAGCCGTTAAGGCAATGCCTCATGATAGTGGCCCCGCTCGGCCGGCCTCGGAGCCACGGGGTGTGTGCAGCTCGTGCGGGAAGACGCTACGGATGTCCTGGGCTCACAGAAGGGGGCGGGAAGGCACGAGCGAAACACTAGGCAGATCCCGAAGCCCGAGGGGGTGAGGAAGCGCCGTCTTGGGCTCTGAAGGACGCCCACAGGAAGAGATCTCCACGCGTCAGGCCCGGTGAGAAGCCTCTGCAGCCACAGGGATGGCCCCGGGGGGCGGGAGCCACTCTGCCTGCCCGTCAGGTTTTTCCCATGGCACACAAGAAAGTGGGAGAGGGCTGGCGGGAGAACAGGGAAGCACCAGGGAGATCGCGCGGTATCATGGTCCTCTCCGGGACGGGGGGCCTGGCAGGCTGTCCATGGAGACGCCGGCGGACAGGCCCGCTTTACATCCCAACTTCCTCCGGATCGCTTCTGCTGCGTGGGGAGCAAACCCTTAGGGGCGTCCGATTACCTAAACAAAAGGAAAAGAAGCTGGATTACATTGTGTGACGGCAGCACCAACCCTGGGACCGTATGCCCAGGAGAGAGAGAGAGAGAGGTTGGCCTCTCCTGCTTCGAAGCCTGCTCAGTCACCAACCAGCCATAGGAAATCGCACAGGCTAGAGGGAGCGGGCCGGAGACGTGAGCTGGGCTCTGGGGTTGAATCCTGTGCTTCCCAACGTGGCTGTGAACACCGGCACCGGCAGTATGGAGACCGCCACCCCAGCACAGTCCACGCAGCCGCGAATCCCCCTGAGCCACAGCAGCCCCGGGTCGCAGGTCTCTGCAGCCATTCTCAGACTCATGCAGCGACAGGGACGATGAATGAGGAGCACGAGACGAAAGATCGGTGCTTTCCAGTGAATGGAAAATCTGCCGGGTAAGACGCGGCGGGCGGGGAGGCAGCATCCGCCATCCCTCACGGAGCGCTAACCTTTATTATCAGTTTGGGAAGCGAAAGTTAATGAAAACTGAGAAACAATGAAATGATTCTCTCCTGCAGTCGACTGTACAAATAAAAAACCATCTGACTCTAAGTTATGAAGCAATTCTATCCAGTGGACGGTACTCCCCCAAGTGGAATGACGCTCCAGGCCCTGAAAAAAGTCTTCACGTTCACCATTCTGGGGGAAGCCATGATTCTTAAAAATCCATTAATAGAATCCGTGGTTGTAAAATGTATTGCTGCCCAAATGACACTGCTTTATAGGTATCATAAAAAGCACACTGCGGAAGCCAGAGGAAGGCCCGTTGAGTTTCCGGCAGTGGCAGGCCACCACGACCGGTTGTGCGACCTTGAGTAAGCCACAGAGCCTCTCTGAGCTCGGCTTCCCCACCAGCAGAATTAGGATGCAAAACCCTCCCTCTCGTCTACGTTTGTAGCAAGGACTGTGTTAGTGAGTACGTGGAAAGAGCTGGCGTAACACCCGACACGCGTGCCGCGTCCCGCAAGGCTAGAGCAGGTGCATCAGCAACAGCAGCTACCAGCGTGGTGGTCTTTAGCAGTCGGTGCGTGCCAGGAGCCTCTGAAAGGGAGTCCGGGATGGGCAATCTTATGCCACCTCGCTTCTCCTGCTCGCTGACAATGACCACAGGGCCGCAGGCTCACCTCCCACTCCACACCGACAGGCACACGCACACGCATGCTCTCAACAGTCCTTGCTGGGCCCCCAGAGGGGTGCTAACTGCCCACTCACCCAAGCCCCAGGTACCGGCCGGAGGGCTGCACCGTCAGAACTCACCAGCAGAGATGCTCACTTCCCTTGGACCAAAGAGCCCACGTGTTCTCGAAACATGTTGGCCAAGATACAGCCAGGCAGTGTTTCCCAAAACATCTTCCCCCACAAAACGTTCCACATGCTGTCAGGAAGCGATGGTGCTTAAATTATCCCAAGGAAAGGTGGGATGGACAAAATCACACAGAATTCTTTACGGCAGGATCTGGGGTGTGATGGGGGGAGGGGGGTAATATGCTAATAAACCCTGCAAGTCCACAGGAGAGGAATACACGAAATCCACACACTGCAGCTGGCCAAGGGATTCTTCCTGAGCTCACGAGGCACCAGTCAGAAAGACGGGTCAGTGAACGCTGAGACACAGGCCCAGGCCTGGGGCAGGTGGGGAGCACGGAGGAGGGGGCGTGGGAAGAGCGGCTCTGGGCAGCTGGAGGCACAGGTCAGGGCCCTCAGGCCTCAAACCCCTGCTTCCAACTTGCTCACGCGCCCCGACCCCTGGCTTGGTACAAACAATTCCTCCAACCAAAGAAACAAAAGGGCACGATCCCCTACTTGGAAACTGCAGCAGGAAGGCCAAGAAAACATTTTTTCACATGTCAAAGACAAGGCCAGGCCGGGGTTAAAAATGAGATCCGGGCTCGAAGCTCTGTGGGAGTGTGCACCCCCCACCGCCTGCCCCACCGGCTTTCTACTGCGGAAGGTCTCATTAGAGTCTTGTTAGAAACACACACAGGACCCGGGAGCCACAAGACCAGAATGCAGATACTCGGGGCCCAGTGCAAGGGGCAACCTGTCGCTCGCTACAGCACTGTGGCTGGGTTCCAGCAAAGGACAAGGAAACGTCGGAGTGGGGGGAGCTGACACTCTCGACGGGGGCACCGAAGGGGCCAGGGCCCTTGTCAGCCGGGCAGAGGCTCCATGGCCGGCCGCACCAGTGCCACTCCAGTCTCGAGTCTCGTTCTGAAGCCTGAACTACAGAGGCCGTCTGAGATGACCCACCAGCCCCAGAAGAGACAGATGCGGAGCTTCCGCATCTCCTAACGTTTGTTCATTCCTTCCTTCCTCCAACAACTACCTTTCAGACGCCTGCTGTGCACCTGGCACGTCCCGGTGCGGAGCTGCGGAGGCCGGAAGCCAGGACAGGGTACTTCCAAAACTTCAGGGAAAATTGAATTAGGGGCCAACGCTGTGGCGCAGCAGGTTAAGCCATCCCATATGGGCACAGTTCAAGTCCCAGCTGCTCCACTTCCAATGCAGCTCCCTGCCAATGTGCCTGGGAAAGCAGCAGAAGATGGCCCAAGTGCTTGGGCTCCTGCACCCACATGGGAGACACGGATGAAGCTCCTGGCTCCTGCCCCAGCCATTGCCGTTATTCAGGGAGTGAACCAGCAGATGGAAGATCTCTCTAGTTCTCTCTCCCTCTCTGTAATTCAACCTTTCAAATACACAAATAAATCTTATAAAACAGAGTAACAGCCTTGCAGGCAGGTGACTACCTTGCTGGTGCCCTTAAGAGCAATGGACCCCAGAGCCCGGGGGCTGTCAGGTGAGCCCTGTCCTGGGGGAGGGGGTGGTTAGAGCTGTGGCTGAGGGAAGGCAGCTGCTTCCCGCCTGGAGCTCAGGTTCGGACAGGCTGAGGGCTCAGGGCTCAGGGCAGAGGGGGCCAGGCACCCACAAAGGGAGGAGCAGGCTTTTCTGATGTGGTAGGACTGTCCTGTGCAGAGCACCCTGTCGCTTGCACCCCCAGCCTCCACTTCCCAGACAGGAGCAGCAGCACCCTCCCCTGGGTCATGGTGTCCCCTGGAGACAGTCACCTCCTGCTGACAGCCCTTGCCTTAGAGGGAGAGCAGGGGACGGGCAAGCCCTCACTTCAGAGGCGATGCTTGAGACGGACCCTGTGAGAAGGAAGCTGGGCGGTCCCATGGGGACCAGGAGGGGCACGGCTGGGAGGAGGCAAGGGCCCTGACGACCACAGGAGGCACAGGCCTGGAGGGAGGGGGCCAGGAACCAGACCCCATACGGCCTTGAAGTCCAGAGTCGGGGATGGCATTGCCCAAGTGCATACTGGGAGGCACGCTTCTCCCTCTCCTCCCCCACAGGACGTGTGAGATTCAGTAAAGCAGCGGGGCAAAGCCGGATCGGTGTGGCCGCGCAGAAAGGCAAACCGAAGCGATCAAGTTCCTCCACCAGCAGACGCCAAGGAGGGTCCTGAGAAACCCAACCCCCAGGTAGCCCTCCTTCAGCACGACGGAGAGGGAACGGCCACCTGTCGGTGCCAGCCGGCACTCCCATTCAGGTGGCAACCCCGGGCCTCAGGTGTGCATTTCAGTTCCATTTCATTCCTGCCCAGCCTCCCGCCTGTGCCCTGAGACCACAGCCGTGGGAACCCGCTGTCACCGCCAGCAATCAGATAACAGGTCCCCAAATAGACAGTGTTCAGTTACCCAGCCCTCTGCTGGTCACCCCTATTAACCTGTGCCCCCCAAGCGCCATCAGCAAGCCATTTGTAACAAAACTGTAATTGAGAGACCCAGAAAGACCACTTTAGATAAAGTAATCGAATGCCCCCTCAGTGCAAGACCGGTGCAGGGCATCCAATTTCCCCGGGCAAAACTTATTAAATTATGGTGGCTCTGAGCCGCTGTGCCAGGAGAAGGAGGTATAAACTTCAAAAGAAGTCTGCACGGATTTAAATAAGTAGCTTCATTTAGGGTGAACGTGCACACCTGCCCTCGGGGTGGGGGAGAAAGGAAAAAAGCAGCTAATTATTTCATTTTGCTTTTATGTTGTAAGGGGAAAAAAGGACGGGCCTTAATTAACCTTTACCACAACACAAAGCCGCCTTCGGATTGGCATGGGTGAGCACTGACATTTCTGTCTGGGCGAAGACTATGGAAATACACTTTTCTTGGAGGAACGGCAAGCAACAGGTGGAGGAGGGCCATGTGCACCCTGAGCTCCGAGCTCCTGCTGGCCGCCGGGACCGAGGGAAGGAGGGCAAGCCCGGGGAGTGTGAGCAGAGTGACGGAAGGGCTTCCACTCCATGCCTGCAGCCTGGCGCTCTGGTCCCATCACAGGCAGCACCCGGGATGAAGCCAGACCAGACACCACCCCCGACACTCACCACCCACAGAGTGCCACAGGGGACACGCAGCCGGTCCACGGCTCAGGATTCCACACTCGTGTCCACCCAGCACCTGAGATGAGTCTCTCTTTTTAAAAAAAAAAAAAAAGTTGAGGGAATTGTTTTAAGATTTAATTTATTAATCTGAGAGGCAGAGCCACAGAGAAGGAGAGGGAGAGGCCTGCCATCCGCTGGTTCACTCCCCAAATGGCTGCAGCAGCCTTAGCCAGGACCATTGGAAGCCAGGAGCCACGAGCTTCTTCCAGGTCTCCCATGTGGGTACAGGGGCCCAAGCGCTTAGGCCATCCTCCACCGCCTTCCCAGGCCACAGTAGAGAGCTGAATTGGAAGAGGAGCAGCTGGGACATGAACCGGCACCCACATGGGACGCTGGCATCACAGGGGGAGGCTGAGCCTACTACGCCACATCGCCGGCCCCCTGAGACAAGTCTTAAGGCATCCTTGTCACAACGGAGCTCCCACAGCACTGGAGTCAGAGCCCGAGGGAGAAGCCGCCGGCCTGGATTGACCTTGAGCAACACTGACCGTCTTCTCCCTGCTTCCTCCGACATAAACTGGGAATCGTCAGAGGCCCCGTTCCCAGCACTGCTGT